AGCGAAAACAGTGGCATCCTTATGGCCAATCAGCCGAACGTGATGAGACATAGCCATCGAGGGCGAGAAGACACCGCCTTTCAGCCTAAACCTCCAAGCACGAGGCGAAGGAATGTCGAAATTGAAAACCAACGCCGCGAAGTGGTGACAACGATCGCAGTCCAAGGCGTCGTGGAGGATGGAATCGGGCTGGCCAGGGCAGCCGTCATGTGCACTTCCTTTCTCTGCATTCGTCGTTGAGTAATCCAACCGCCACACCATGTGCGCACAATTGCTGAGCACCAGCTTTGGGGCAGCTTCGCGAGTTGTACTCTGAGCTGCTGGAAAAGAGCGAGTGTGCTCAATATCGAAATGATTCCTCAGTCGGCGCGTACACGGTGAAAGAGTTTGTCATGGAAGACCATCGGGAGCATCAGCGATTGTAATGCAGACTGCCATCTATGTTTCCAAATCTTACCCACGTCAGAAGAAACATGGGGAACCGCAGCTCCAGCAATCACTGCCTGCCGCCTCGGTTGCCACAGCACTATCATTCACTGCCTGCTTCCACGCGTCGTTCATCGCATCTTCACACTCAGCTGGAATCCTACCAATTGTGGGAGGAAGGCCGTCGGGGAACAAGTGATCCGACCAAGTTGGTCGAGGTAAAGATTCAATACCAAACGTCCACCACGAGCAAGCCTTGAGTACCCAACAAATCCGTGAGCAGCGTGTTCCAACCGCAGAGCAAACAAAAACATCAGGCCAAAATGAAGGCGCCATCAGAAACTCTACCAACTTCTCGAATCGGCGGTGCCGAGTAGCCGGGTAAGATGATATTGCCCTTGCTTTGTAAGACGCTGCACCTTGACCGCATGCTGATCCAAACTTTGGCAGGTAGACCCAGATGCATAACCTAGAAACGTCGGACATCGCAGCCATCGGGCTTGATGTGCACAGTAGCCGCGCGACCAAATGCCGCTGCCGCTGCCCCAGAATCCAAGGGACCGATGAACTCTGCATGATGTAGGATAGTGTTGAAAAGGGATCGCTCCGCATAGGGTCGTGCTACGACGTCAGCAGGTAAGCGTTTTCCTAATTCGGCGTTTCGACATTGGGCGGGAGGAGGGGCGAGGGGGGGGGGGTCTGGCCCCGGACCTCTGCTGAGTGCGACGGTTTGCAACAGTGCGTCCATCATGGGGGAGGCTCCACCTGCTTGAAACAGGCGCCCAAAGCAGCCAAGATCTACTCCATGGGTGGGGGAGCGGGGCGGGCGCGAGGGCCCGCGCCGATCGGCAAAACAATGAATCAGAAAAAGATCACCTGTTGTCTGATGGCCGTAGTGCGCGCGTGATGCTTGAGATCTGGAGCCTGCCATTGGTCGGCGAGGGACGCCGCAAGGCCAATCCAGAAACCCAGGTAGATGCACTTGTTCGCGGTTTCAGTTGCTTGACGCGAGCTGCCGATTGCCCGCAGGGCGGAGCGCAAAGTGTGCATCACTTCCTCAGGCACAGGGGACTATGGTGGATTAGCCTCGCATTTCTTGGGATTTTTTTGGGTGCCTGTTGGCCAGCTTCGCTGCCCACAGAAAGACTCGAGTCAGACGGCGGAAGGCACGACGACGCCAGACCACAGCTCCTATTTCATCAGCACGAGCAACCACACCAGCCAACGACGGGGAAGGCACGACCAGGAAGCCTTCGAGGTCCAAAAGGAAGTGGTTAACCGCCACGACGAACATACTCCCACTGAGGGGACACCCCTGGAGCACCCCGCTGTCCATGTAGTACATAAAACATCAGGGTATGACCATCATGCAGGCATGGGCTGCACCGATAAAGCACATCAGCTGCACGAAGACACGACCATGGGACACGATACCGACGAATACAACATAATAACCAGGCTTGTCGTACGGACGGGAACGCCTGGGCGACGTCGAAACCGAGCAACGCAGGGATCCCGTGGGGCCCTGAGTGGGACCAAACACTAGCGGATCTCGCATGCACGTCGAAGGCCACGATGTTTTCCAAAAGTTGGGCCCGCGCATGAGCCCATCCTGAAACTTCGCAACGACCTGCTGCACCGCACTTTGGAGACGGCCGTTGAGCACCGCGCGCATGGCCTTGTTCGCCGTGCTCTTCAACTCGAGGGGTCTGGTGTCTTCAGGGGCTCTCAAGGCTCCGCCTCATCAGGCCCTGGGATGTCATCTGTAAGAGGCTTCGGGATAAATGCAGCCAGAAGGGCCGAGAACGATGGCGGCATAGCCCGCCCCAGACAACGATATCGAAGGACCTGCATGAGGACCCATGCCCCTTGCCCATGCTTCCACGCGGCATGGTGGAGCCCATCAGGGCCGGGTGCAACCAAGACGCACGCTCCAAGACTCGGCTCGATGTCCCGAAAATCGCCACAAGGGGCAAACCGAGAAGTATACTGATAAGCACCAGAAGGCAACGGGGTACCAGTGTCGAACACGGTGAGCAAGAGACTCCACCAGCCCAGCTTCCGCATCAATCGATGGCACCTCGACCTCCGAGCCCACTACCCAGGAAGGTACTTACGCCTAGCAAGCGGTCTGGCCGCGTCTGGCTGCCGAACGTTTTTGCTTCAGGAGACGAGCCTTCTGCGCCTGATTGGAGGCACCATCAATGACCTGTTCGATGGCTTTGCGTTGTGCCGCTGGCTCTTGTTTTTGAAAATGCGCGATCAGGTCATGAAACCCTGCATCGATAAAGCTGCGTTTCCAAAACACTGTATACGTCTCTCGGCTTGTGCGTGTCATCCTTGCGCAAGAACCATGCTAATCGTCTCTGTCTCGTTCCAGATTTAACGGATGACCCCCGAAGGGAATCCAGGAGGAGCAGGAGAAGCAGGAGGAGAAGTGTGAGGCTGAGGAGAGGGCCGAGAGCCCCGCAAGGCGAGCTCCAATCCGAACGCGCAGAAGAAAGCTCGCTCGACCCGAAGGCAGTCGGACATTGCCCTTATTGATGCAGCGTGGTCGTGTGATCATGATGCTTCGGGACGTTCTGATCGGATTGCGACACCGTGGTGTCTCGATGTTGCACTCCCGAACGTTCAATCGCGAGTGGTTGATGCAAATGGGCCACTGCATATTGAACCAAGGTCTGCTGCATGCTGAGCGTGTACGACACCACTACAGCGTGCGCCAATGCCTTCCTCAATCATCTCCTCCCTCTTTCCCCATTCTGCGCAAACATGGCCCGAACGCAAACAAGCAAAGCTACTGACACTTCACACAGTTTGGTGTCCGTGTTTCGCTTGGCTTCGTAAGTTTCTTGCGTGCACTGGTTCGTTCAGCGTGCGCGTTTCGGCTCAAGCGAAACAAAAAACAGCGGGTGTTATTCATTCGTAACGTAAGACCGATACACGTAAACAGACAAGCAGACAAACAGTTTCTGGCACCCAGAAGGGCTGGGTGCATGAGGAGGGCTAGAAAAACAACCACGGACTGGCCTAAGGAACAGGGAGCCCCTTCCGAACCCTTAGCGGTCCTTGCCCCTGCGTCTTGACTGCAGGCAAGAGGGGCTGTGAACGCGCAGACAAAAGGGGCGCCGGGTGGCCACCTCCGAGCGCGCAGGCAACCGCTACCGCACCGCGCTCAGCGAGCCCGCACCAACGGCCACTCCGGCGAAGGGCCACTCTCGTCGACTGTGGGGGAGAGGCGGAGGAGATGGCGAGGAGATGGCGAGGAGATGGCGAGGAGATGGCGAGGAGGAGGAGGAGGCGGAGATGGCGAGGAGATGCCGGGGAGAGGCGGAGGAGATGGCGAGACGCACTCCACGATGGCCCGGCCTCGGGAAAGTCCTCCGCGCGCCCACCCCCCCGCGAACCCGCCATTGGACCGCGACGCGGCCAAGCGCGGCATCTTCGCGCCGCCACCTCTGACCTATACTTAGGTCGGGCATGTCCTCCTACAGACGGGTTGTGGAAGAAAAAAAGGAAATAGTCAACAGAAAGAGTTTGAACAATCGTTACTCGACTATTCTTTTTTACATACCCGAAATACTCCTTGAGTCTTGAGACGCAAAGGTCCGGGCCTGCACTGTGGCCGAGCCGCCGCCCAGGTCGAACCAGCACCCACGAACCATCTCTCTGGCTCCCCTCGCATCTAAGACGGAGCGAGGACGCGGAAAAATTTGGGTTCGGTGGCAACTCGTGGGAACCTCCCATACCAGCTTGCCCGCTCTTGCGAATCGACGCTGGTCGACGCAACATCGACGCTAATCAACGCTAAATCGACGCTAACCGATGCTAAATCGGCGCTATCTCATCGACTCCCAGACGCTACTCGACGCTGAAGACGCAATTAAGAGGGTATACCAGGCTTCCATGATTTGCTACCGAATTTGGGTGAGAATAAATCGAGAATCTCTGAGGTCCGGCGGCTCTGGAGGATGTATCGGGCGCCGCGGCCTTCTCAGAGCGTTACAGACGGCTCTGAGAGCGTTCTGGAACGCACTGGAACGGAGTTATCCTTCTCCTAGCCCCGTCCGACAATCCGACCCAATCTTCCCCTCCTCACCCTCATGCCAAGGTCCAGAAGGCAATCTCCAGACAGGTGCATCAAACGTCGGGGCAGCAATCCTTCTTGTCAAGCAGGGCGCAAGTCACCCGAACGGTACCGGTTTTGCGCCCAATGTGTGCAGTGGCAGACAGACCGATGCGATGAAGCATACAAGAGCAATGGCATGCAGCAGAAAGGGAAAGAGAGAGAGAGAGAGAAACAAAACAAACAGTGGGATAGGGATGGGGAATCACGGTACGCAGATCCACTCTCCAGTCTCCCATCCGAGGACGAAGATGACGATGCCAAGGGCTGCAAATGGATCCGGGCATAATCTTCTACGAACAGCCGTTGCTCACCTTTGGAGTTTGCGCGAAATAAGGACCTATATTTTTCTCCTTGGATTAGCCTCGATTATGAAAGCTGCGAGCTTCCCAACTGATGAGATGGGATTCATCCAGGAAAACGCAGGCCGAACGACTGAAGGCCCAAGCTAAAAGTTAAACGGCCTCATTGAAAGCTTAACTCCGCCATCGCCTCGACAATGCGTTGACCGCGGGCAGCTCTCCATGAGGACACTACTAAAGGGGGGCGCGCGCACACATCTCGAGCCCGCGCGATCCCATGCTGAGGCTGCCCCAGTCTCATTAAAACAATTCGCCCGAAGTGCGTCCTCCCCCTCCTCGCCCTCCTCCCCCTCCTCCTCCTCCTCCTCCTCCTCCTCCTCCTCCTCCTCCTCCTCCTCCCCCTCCTCGCCATCCTCCCCCTCCTCCTTCTCCTACTCCTCCTCGTCCTACTCGTCCTCCTCCTCCTCGTCCTCCTCCTCCTCCTCCCTCCCTCTCTCCTTCCTTCTCCCTCCTCCTACGGTCGGACCCAAGGCAGAAACACATCCCTCAAGAACGCGAGACCTCCGCCGGCCAAACTGAAGAACATGATGCACCAGAACATTCAACAAATACGAATAACACTACAGTCGGGGCCAATCCACAAGAAACCTTCCACCAGAAACCCAATTCTGAGGCCCCAGGGCGTCAATTGATTTTTGGCGTGGGAACGTCACGCTGTCCATGACAAAACAATCGAAACCCAAGAAACCCAGGGCACCCTGGAGCCCTGGAGGCGAGCAGGGTGTTTCTTCGAATGGGCCTCCACTGTAGGGTACTCTCCCCGAACCCACCTCGATCTGATACCTCGGACCGACCATCGTCGCCGTCCCCGTTCTCCTCGCCATCCGCTGCACCACGTGCTGGTACTCGCTTGCCTCGTCCTCGCCGTCAGCCTACTCGCACTCCCCCCTCCTCCCAGACCCTTCCATCAGAGCTCGAGCCAAACGCTGTTGTCCGTTTTCGTTTTGGATGCGTTTTCCCTCGTTCTGTCCTCGTTCCGCCTTTGCCGCAAGACGAAAGCAAAACGAAAAGAGCCCTCGAAATCGTCAAGACGCCGTTTGGGTCGACCCCGGCCGTCCACCTCCTCCTCCACCACCTGCAGGGAGAAGCCTCCTCTCTCCGCAAGCGCACCCGCTGGCGCTCGAAGGGACGCCCCGAGACGGATGCCGCCGAATGCCCACACCACCTGGTGAGCGTTTTCTTATTCGGCGTTTCGACACTGAGCGAAAAAGGGGGGGGATCTGGCTCTGGACCTCTGCTTAGTGCGACTGTTTGCAACAGTGCGCCCTATGTGGGAGGAACTCCACCTGCTCGAAACAGGCGCCCAAAACAGCCAAGATCTACTCGAGGGGGGGGGGGAGGGGGGGTGCGCGAGGGCCTGCGCCGATCGGCAAAACAAGGAATAAGAAACCGATCACCTGTACAGGGGCTGTTCGAGCAGCCACTGGATACAGGCTCCGGAGCGCGCTGGCACCAGCAACTGCTGCAGGCGGCGGGGCCACGTCCACGGACCGCAAGCGCCCCAGGCCGCCGACTGAGCTGCGGCATGGCCGTTCTGGTAGCTGCCGCAGCTGGAACTGGAGCACATCGAGCTCCGAGCGTCTCCATCCTCCAAGGGTGGCCAGCCCGCTGGGGAAGCAGCAGGCGTGGGCTCGACCGCACGCCTGGGTTTGCGCTTCGCGCTGTCTCCCATCTTCCTCGCCCGTGTCTCTCGTCGCCAGCGGCTTTTCACCTTTCTTACTTTTTTTTCCTACTCAAGTGTCTGCTCCCTTCCCTACAATCAGTTGAATGCTGCTGCCAATTGGCATCACGAGCGCACGTGTATCTATTGGAGTATGTCTGGGGCAAAACTCCCTCTTTGATACTCGATGCGCCCACGGCCCTTCTGGGAAGGAGGCGCGAGGACAAAGCTAGCACCCCCCAGCCACCGCGCGCGCCCCTCCCCTCGCCCCCGCTCCCAGTCAGACTCTCATCACCCCCAGCGTGGTGTCTCTCCAACGCCGAAGTGCTGTCGAGGAGAGATCTTCCGAGGACCCATGCCGACAAAAACAAGGGCGCGCTGCAGCACAACACTCTTTTATCGCACGCGGGTGCTCCAGCAGCTCGCGGCGCGCGCTCCAGCACTTCGACCGATCAAACATTATTTCCACGGCATATTTATATACACATACATATGTATCTCGCTCTAGCCCGCTATCAACCAGCTGGTCACACTGTAAGTCTTTCTGATAATCCTACTAGAGATGGATCGGTATAACCATCTACTGGCCGAACGACGCATCTGTATCTCGCACGAACCGTCTAGATGTATATACACGTATATACATTTTCGATATACATATATCGACACATGTATCTACCACACGACCCAACAATACATACATACATACACACATACACACATACACACATACACACATACATACATACATACATACATACATGCATGCATGCATACATACATACATACATACATATGCTTATACATATGTGTATATATATGGCAATCTCATTATCAATATGTCTACCGGTCTATTTGTCTACTTGTTCACTATCTATTGGTCTCCCGATCAACCAACCGATTTTACGGTCCGTCTATACGTATATCTGTACATATGTATCGCTATCGACCTGCTATCACAATGTCTATATCTATCGACAGTGGGAGAACCAAGACAAAACACCAATCGTGCAACGACCACAGCGGGATAACCACTGGGCAACCTCAGGGCAAGAACGCGACAGCCACGGGACAGTCAAAGGACAACCACACGACAACCACAGGACAACCACACGACAACCACGGGACAACCACAGGACAACCAAGCGACAACCACGCGAGAACCACGGGACAACCACAAGACAACCAAGCGACAACCACCAAGACAACCGCTGGCACAACCCCGGGACGACCCCGGGACGACCACGGGACAACCATGAAGCCACGGTGCGACCAGGGGGGCGAGTCAGTCTGACGCGAACCCCTCCAACGGTGAGAGCACTGGCTAAGGAACCACTGGACAAGGAGTCCAGTGTCTGAAAGCCTGGTGGAGCAGCAACTGAGACGTGGCCATGGAAACTACCACCGCCCTCGTAAGATGAGTCGGACCTAGGCCAGAAGAAGATCCCTCAAGAACAGGAGACCCTCCGCCGGCCAATATGTACAGAACATCCAAAGGTACCTCCCCCCCAAGGTGCACAAGAACATCCAGCAAACACGAACACCAAGGTACCCTCCCAGAGCCGACCTCGACCTTATACCTCGGTCCGACTGCACAACTCCTCCAGGGCCTGGAGCCTCCTGGGCACATTCCTTGGCGAACGCCCCCACCGTATCTCGCCCGCCCTCGCGCGAGCTTCGCCTCGCCCGCGCGCCACAGACGACACGAAATGAGGTCGAAATCGATCCTGAAGGGGCCCAGGGACAGGCAAATAGATGCACACGAATCCAAGGATTGACGATATGTGTCCCATATTTTCGGGACTTTCGTCTTCCCCCCCACTTCCCGTACATTCCCATATGCTCCTGGGAATCGACGTTTACTTGTGTCTGTGTGTTCTTCCCCTCCTGACTCACTTCGGTCTCATCCCCAACCTCCATCTTGGCGCTCCGCGCTGGGCGAGCGCTGGGCGAGGCGCGAGACGCTCTTCTCTTCATGGCCTCGCGTGGCCACCACGGTCTCGCGAAGCGCTGTTTTATGTTTGCGACCCAGCGGGTGGCCTGGGTAGCCGAACAAAACACCCATCCCATCCTTCAAGAGGGAACCAGGAAGCGGCCCAGTGCTTCACGACGGACAAATGGGACGCAGAAGGAAATACTAGTACTATGTGTCCTCCTCGGAGGCGCGCGTCGGACCCGAACATATAGCGTACCCATCTTCTAGTATATCGTTTCCCGAGCGTTGTGGCCAGAAAGCGCCCGCCACGACGCATATACCATAAGACTTCTCGGTGCGCGCGTCGCCCCTCGGGGGGCGACGCACATAGTATTAGTACGTTGGGTGACGCCGAACAACAGAACCTGCACACAGCTGGCAGCCGTCAGAGAAAGACTACTTTCTGGAAGCTGGTATCCTAAGAACCTGCGCTCGCAGGTCACGAGCTCTATCGGCACAATTTGAGCTGTTCTCGGTAGTACTGAAGCGCGAACCGGCGATGGGCCCAGCCGCAAACTGAAGCGATGGCCGTCTGGAACTCCATGGAGAAGGTGTTGAAGATCTCAACCTCGCCCTCTTCGAACTTGCAGGCCGCCAGCATTCTCTTCGCCACAGCCCTTGCCTGCAAACCTGCATCGATCTTGGCATCCGACTCTCCGCGCGTTATGACTGGCGGCTTCTTAGCGGACTTCAGGGGGGTCGCTGGGCCAGATGCCCCCACAATGGCATTCCGGGCGATGTTGGTGGCCACAAAGCCCGGGTATACTTTCGTGATGCGCACGTTCTTATCCCAAAGTTCGGCCTGCAAGCTAGTGAAGAATCCGTTGCCACCAAACTTGGCCGCCGCATAAATCGAACGGAAACCGAACGCGATCCGTCCGACGAAAGAGGACGTGTAAACGATGTGCTTGCGTGCGGTTGTCGTATGTTTGGCTTCAGTGCTACCGTCCATCTTGCTGTTGGTCGTGGTGGTGTCCACGATTTTGCCGATTACAGCTGCCAGCATGGAGATCTGCGAGCCAAGATTGGTCGCAAGGAGGGAATCGAGGGCCTGCTGGTCGCTTGCCATGCACACGAACTCGTCTCGCTGACTAACACCAGCATTGCAGAAGACGACGTCAAGCTCACAGTCCTGTGCGTCACCGATGGCTTTTTGAAAAACCTCGCGCACCTCATCAGGGCGGGCGAAGTCCGCAACCACCTGTGTCCGTAGACCCCCGCCTGCAGGGAGGTAAAAAGGCGTGTGAGATATTTGGCAGCACCCCCTCCCCCGTTCCCCTTCCTCCGAAATCCAAAACGAAGTTTGGCGCTCCTCCTCGAAATCCAGCCTCCGTCGCATCCAACATGCCCTTTTTGGGGCGGGGTCTGGGAACTCGCAGGCCCAGGCCCTCTTTTCTCGCAGGCTCGGAGAAGACCTGAAGAGTAGGAACCGATTGAGGATACCGAGGAGACAGAGGAGAAGGATGAACGGGGACGGCGCTCCTCCCAGGCCCTCGCAGCTTTGAAATCCAGCCTCCGTCGCTCCCAGGATACTCCGGATGCCTTCCAGGCGGGCTTCAGAAGGGCGCCGCCGCCCCCGAACTGCCCCCAAGAGCGCCCAAGACTATGCCAAGATGGCTCAAGAGGCCCCCAAGACGCCTCAAGATGGCCGCTAGATAACCCCCAAGAAGGCATCAATCTGCAACAAATTATGATGTTGCTGAAGTTGTTGAATATATATATATATATATATATATATATATTTGTGTGTATTCTCGCCTTGCTGGGCTTCCTAAAACCTCTCCAAAAGGCCCCCAGAGGACCCAAAAAGCCCGCATGATCCCTGATACGGCTCCACGAGGCCGCCCCCGAGGCGTCCAAGAGGCCCACAAGAAGCCTCGCAACAGAGGCGGAGGATGAGGACACGTTACCAACAACTAGACATAGGCAACACGACGTGAAGTGGCAAGCACCACATACGAAGTCGGAAGCCGCGCATCTCTTCTTCTGGGTCCAGCGGGGCGGCGTAAGCCTCTTGAGTAATCCTGGGCATCGGGAAAACCGTGCCGCCAGCTGCGCTCTCGCCCTCGATACTTCGCACCACATCGTTCAGCTTGTCGTGCGACCGCCCGTGGAGATACACGTGCTTGGCAGCACGCGGCCCTGGTGCCGCCAGGAGCCTGGCGAGCTCGTAGCCGATGCCGCTCGTGGCGCCCGTGATAAGGATGGACTTGCCGCAGAAGTAATCCAGCACCGCCGACTCGCACCAGCGGGCACGGATATTGGTGTAGCGCGTGTGCAGGAACGACGCCGAGAACGTCGCCAGCGCCAGGATCCCGACCACGTCGACCAAGCCTCTGGCGCCCTCCCGCCAACTCGCCTGCGGGAGGCAGAACTGGATTAGCGGGCCCGCCGCGCCTGGCATGGCTGGCGAGAGAGAGGCCGCGTCTAGGACCGAGGCGTGCCTGCGTGTTTGCTCGGGCCGAGAGGGCCTGGGGGGGGGGGGGGCACGTCCGCGCACACTTCCAACCCAGCTCGAGGCGGCACCGCTGGGGCGAAAGCAGGGGGGCGCGGGAGCGAGGATGGGGGAAGCGGGGCCAGGGGGGGCGGGCGAAAAATGAGGGACGGGGCCTCCTCCTGGTGCTGCCCCTTGCCCTCGTCCCCCTCGTCCTCCTCGAACTCCTCTTCCTCTTCCTCTTCCTCCTCCTCCTTCTCCTCCTCCTCTTCGCCCTTCTCTAGCCCGTCCTCCTCGCCGCTCCTCCGTGCTTCCCCTCCTCCCCGCCCGCCTTTCCCCCTCCTCCTCGCCCTCCTCCTACTCTCCCTTTCCCATTCCTCATTATCCTTTTCTTCCTCCTCCTCCTCCTCTTCCTCCTCCTCCTCCTCCTCCTCATCCTCCTCGTCCTTCTCCTCCTCGTCCTCATCTTCCTCCTCCTCCTCCTCCTCCTCATCCTCCGCCATTCTTTTTCGTCCTGTCGCATGCGGAGGCCAGTGGAAAGGGCGGGCTGGGCGTTTCGCTGGAGACTTCCTCACCATTTATGACCCAGAGGCTCAACATTGGCAAC